GGTGAAGCGCTAGGTGCTACAACTGAGAGGGGGGTGAACGCTTGGATCGTGAGCCACGTGCCCGGGGGGTTGCAGACTCCGCGGGGTTCCACTTAGCTGAGCACAGGTAGACTGATGTTGTTTCAGGCGGTGCGCATGTTAGTGCACCATGCGCGCAACCCGTCATAGTGTGAATCAAGACCTACGTGCCTATTAATAGTGTTTGTGCAGGAATGCCATGCTTCGAGAAATTTTCGTGCTTGTTTTGTATTAGCTGTAGCGACCACTTCAGTCCCGTCCCAACTAAAGCGATAATCATTATCAATAGCTTGTGCAAACAGGAGTGACAATGGATCGCGTCTTCGGACGGCTAGCTCATGTTCGTGTAAGCGGGTGCCCCAAACCCTCTATTGCGACAATCCCAGCCCTCACTTTCATTCAGTCTGGCGAAAAGCTAGTGTCCCCAGCTCGAAAATTCACGAGTAGAACTCCATTTTCCGACGAGCCGTCTTTCTGCATAAAAGATCGAGTCTAGTCCCATCAGGCGCTGATGGATGGGGGGGGGGTGGCGGAGGAGGAGGTGTCAGACAATTAGCTCATGTCAACACGGATCCTGAGGTCATCCTTAGTCACGTGAGCCTTTGCGCCTGTATAAACGCCTTCTGCGTGCACATAGTTTGTTTAGTTAGCCATATGATGATTGCCACTGCCGTCGCGGGTATCCTCTGTTGTAGGAACTTAGAGTTTTTCGCTAGCACTTCATAGAGGAGTCAGAATGCTTGCTTGACCTCTACCCAGTAATCGCTGTCAACCAAGTGAACCACACTTCTGCTAGAGACGGACTTTACCAGGTCTCGGTTTAGCTAGGCAGGGTGGTGTTCTCGCAACTACTTGAATAGGCGCCTACTTGTTCAATCCATATAACCCGCCCACGAGAAGGTGTAGATGCCTGTGGAATAGGTCCCAATCGGGAGTCTACCCTTGCCACCACGGCAAAGAAGTGAAGGACTTGGGAACATTAGTCTTATCTCAGCAGTTGGAGACATGCCCACGACAATATTTTTCTAAGTGAAGATGTAGAAGTTCGTCTGCTAGATCCTCTCAGATAGAAGATGGGAATAATGCGGCCATTTTCTGTCATTGTCACGTCAGAGTTTGGGCACGATCCTCAATAAGTTTACTAATAAACGTTTCATGAAAGCCGTTTCCTCGCAGGGTGTTTTGAATAAGAGCGAGTTCGTTCTCCAGCGTGCCTGGGGTACATAACCTCCTAGCTCGATTAGTGAGGCAGCGAACTAAGTTTCATTTCTGACTAAGCGGCACAAAACTATAGAAATATGTGCATCGCTCTGTCCACATTTTCTTACAAAATGCACTTTCACGACGTTCGACTGATAAGGAAACCCAGAAAGAGCATCCTCCGTTCTCTTTGTCTAAAGTGAAGACTAACGTTAGGCAGGCCTAATTCACGTTATCCAGGAGGGTGCTCTTATCAATATTTCCATCTTCTAATGCAAAATTACATTTAAATATTGCGCATAGGAAGAAATGTCCCTTAAAATTGGTTCACTAGTTTTCCCATCAGCTATTATTGGTAAGCCATCAATTTGGCGGTACAATTGGCCGTTAAAACTGAATTGCACATTTATCATGCAGCGAAAGAGCAATCCTTGGGGTGTCCGACCGTCATGACGACTAGGAAATCCTGCCTTAAAATCTCGACATCTAAAGATAACATAGTTTTCACACTTAAATTTGTATTTCATATGGACTCAATGAATTCAAACATGTCCTGTAGGCTACGTGTTGGTATTTGTTCTCAAATCGACTTCAGCTTTCCTGCCAGCAATTTTGAAAGTGCATGATAGGGTGGATTGTCTAATATTGGCCGTCTAGGGAGGTCTGCTTTGAGATTTTTTGGTAAACCATATAGCTTTGGAGGGACCGTGCCCATGGGTTCAAGAGGGTCAAACTTCTGTTCGGCAAGGAAACCTTGGTCTTTCAGTTTCTGAAGATATTTTATGAATTGGATTTCTATGCTCTCAGTTTGATCCTTACTTTGCCTCTCTCTCTCTCTTTTGATGATAGTTTTGTCTACGTGCCTGGAACGCTTTTTGCCTTTCCTGCATATTAATAATGAATGCGGACAAGAACTAGCAGAGCTGTACGAAAAGCATATCGGCATCGCAGATTGGATGACTAGGGGATTCAACAATGCGCATCTGGATGAAAAGATACGATAATTCGGCTCCTAATTCCTTTTAGAAGAAGGGCTGAAAGTTCTACAACCCTCAATAGGAATACAAGTATTACGCTGCATCCCTTGTTTCAAGACGTTACTGATAGTTGTTTGGCAACGGCAAATACTTTGTGAAAAAATGTTGTCTTTCAGAACAAAAAGCTAGGAGACTACTTCTGACTTATTTGCGATCACTAGGAAAGTAGTTTCTGACTAGACTGGATAACCTGGGAGTTGCGCCAGGGTTAATTTATTTATAAAACCAAAATAAACTACCTGAGTCACGAATCAATGCCCATGTGAATTGTCCTTACAGGTCCACCGTATTCCAAGAGAATATGCACACACTCATTGATGAAAGTCCACCAGTCCGCTAACGGAACCCATCTGTCCCGCTCTGCCTGGGATCTCGACAGAGGCCCTGACAGCCGTATCAGCTGGTAGTGTAGGCAGATAGTATTACCGGCAGAGACAACGGAGACTGGAATGGCCATTTCCGGCTTATTACTATCGTCAGCCAGTCATGCCCAGACCCGTGTGGCCTCCCACCCCAGTTTTCAACTCGCAACCTATTTGAGCAACCATTGAGACACGAGCTCGTTGTCTTGCCCGGCTAGGTCGAGGGGCATTGACATTCATTGATGACGACTAATAATGACGACGGCTAGTAAGTCAGAAATGGTCATTCCAGTCTCCATTATCTTCGCCGGTAATATTATCTACCTACGCTACCAGCTGATACGGCTGTCAGGGCCTCTGTCGAAACCCCAGAAAGAGTAGGGCGGATAAGTTCCGTTAACGGTCGGGTGAAAGTTCATCAATGAGTTTAAATATCACTCGATTTACCCGAGCAAGCCAACGAGCTCGTGGCTCACTGGTTAGGGCGCTTGACTCTGATCAAATAGGTTGCGAGTTCGAGGCTCGGGTGGGACACAACATGGGCCTGGGTATGACGGGCTGACGACGGCTAATAAGCCGGAAATGGCCATTCCAGTATCCCTGGTCTTTGCCGGTAATACTATCTGCCTAATGTACAGCCATTCCTTGATTCTCCCTTTGGTAACTAACTTCGTCATTTTTTTCGCCTGCATGAAGTAGGTGGTGCTGATGAAATAGAGTCAACCTGATGTAACATGCCGAAATTAGTTTGCCCATGTGGATTCATTTCTTATAATGCGTATCAGTAGGTCTACGACGTTACCCAGTCTATAGCTTTAGTCTCTAATTAAATACCTTGTCCAACGACTAGTGCTTCTACTAGGAAAATATGACTGACCTGACCAACACCAGTTGCAGTAACGACAACAACCCTTGCCTGTAAACCCCGCTTTTCAGTATTTGAATTTGGCGCTGATTTATCTGTTCTGCCTCATTTTGTAGAGTTCAGAACGCAGACATGCTAGCAGCTATCCGTCGAGAAACAGGAATACTCATGATTTCCATGGTCCAAAGTCAGGTGGACCCGGTCAAATTGGCTCCAATTTCGGTGAGCAGTTATCCGGTGATGGGCAAGATACCACAGCGGTCAAACGCCGACCTATCTACGGACCTCCAGATGACGAAACTTTGGGAGCGTTTTGGCAACGAAAACCTGCAAACCGACATAAAACACGCAGGAAACGACTTATGGAAGCTCTATTTGACTACAATCCCCAAATATACAGCCCGAACGTCGATGTTCAGGTAAGCAATGCTGTATGAGTGATAGTAAGTGTAAATTGTTTTAAACGTAGCTAACTAACCAAATCCATTTATCAGTTAAAAAAATGAAAGTGCAGACGAATGACACAAAATTCACAATACTCTTCACTTGCTGACATATATGTCAATATTCTATATAATGTAGTTCGTTAAAATTGTTTAAGCTTCGATAAAAAGGTTATTAAATAGACATGTTTAAGTTTTAATCACACATGCCACACAAGTTTCTCGATATTTCGCATATTCTAGAGGATGGGTGCTGGCTAGGGTCATGAATGTCTTTTTCAATTTCGACTAATTGATCTTCACAGTTGTGCAAAGTCCGTCCAAGCTGTCTGGTTCACTGACGCTTTTCTCTGAGTATTGTATTATTTTCTTTTCGGTCCTTTGTGCTAGCATGCAATGGAACAGAACAGGTGGTGTATTGGTAGTTTTCCATTTGGTGATTTGTGATCCACAGCTATTTGTATGCGTACGTTGGGATTTAAAACGACTCCTTCTTCGGCGTAACTTTTATGAATGACCTTATACTAGTGACTTTTGTCTCCTGTATTTCGACTTTCCGTGAACTTCAAAATGTATCCGACATGTATCGGTTTAGTTTCAGAAGTTCCATGGAGTAACCATCTTAAATGCTGTCCGTCGTTCCTAAACAAAACATCCTTCTAATATACAGAAAAGGGACCATACCAGGCATATACCCTGTTGAAGAGACGTTGACCAAGTGCCTGCATTTTTAGGAGGTTTCGTGCACGTTTTTTACGGTTTCCCGTCTTCTCAGTGACGTCTAAGCTCGTACGTACGAGGCAGATTTGTGTGTGTTTCACCCCTGGGCTTAAAGTTCACTGGCTCAGTACCACTCACGACGCTACTGTCACCAACATTAGCCTGAAGACACAAATCTCAACACAACAGCCAGCCCCCAACCCCGAATATGACAGGAAGCATTGTTGCTGCTGCCCCCACCGCGGAAGCATCTGCAACTATCTAGCATTCATGGTGTACATCTAGCTTCCCCACAAGGCGAGCTTCAGGTTCGATTGAATGGGAGACTTATCCTGTAATGTAGAAGAGGATCGTGTACTTGCCGCTGGAAATGTGTAGTTCAGGCTACTTTGTACCCCACTGAGCAGCATATTCGCGCTTCCTTGTAAACGTCTCCTACGCTTAGGGAGTATGCATTTTTGGAATTTCTCAGCAAGTATCAGGAAGGTGTTCTGCAACATAAAACCCACGCCTATCTAGTATTTTATTAATTAGTACACAATGCCGGGAAAAAAACGAAGAAACAATTGGTGGGCATCCGTGCATTTATCTGAAAATCAAATATGATGACTACATTTAAATCAAACCGGTAGGTTGGAGCATATAGAGTTTTGCTTTTGTCCGTCCTGTTTTGTCGAATAGTTTAGTTCACACATAGTACATAAAGATGATGGAACTTCAAAACGTAAGAGATGTTTGAAGAAGGGAAAGCAACACCAGGGACGCAGTTTACTGCCTAACTTAGTGCAGACACCCACCAGTTTTGAATGATTTGTAACCAGGTTGCACATAGGCTGAGGACATTTTAAAATTATTCATTATTCAAGTAACTACTTAAAAGGATCCCCAACGATCCTGCAAAGCCATTTGCGTATAGTTTTTTCACACAAAGTAGCTACCCCTTGTTTGATACGTGCTTATTCCACAGGGTATCGTCGAACGTGCGTTTAGCAGGAAATTTGTGACGTATCTTGCCTTTTGAGTTATTAAGGAAATTATCCACAGACTGGGAACCTTTTAGCAGGGAAATAGTACACGTCTTCTGATGTTTAAGTTATATCATAAAATACAAAAATCTAATCAAGCAAAACTTATAGTACGGGTTTATGTATTGCTGGGATCTTCGTCCTTATTAGCAGGTCATATTTCATGCAATTGATCTACTCGCTCACAGGCCTTAAACTATACTCCTCACCCAACAGAAAAAAGACGTGGGTAAGAACATTATGTTAGAATCAAAGACGATTTTACGTCCCTATACAGTTATGCTTATGTATTTGTATAAGTTCCCCCTCCCTTACCTACGGTAGTAAGTAGACGCATTACTATTTTAGAAGTAACCACGAAGTGACCCAGTATATACGGAAAATAGTCTCTAGGTATATGGAAGTACATCGTCTGTACAGAGTTCCTCCAGCTAATAAATTATTTATAAGCGCGATTGTTATCACATTGTGTTTTTGCAACGATAATTGAGCATTTATATAGATACTTTATGGATGATTTATTATTATAGGATGAGACATAGAACAGAATAAAGATAACATAAAAAAGTCTGATAAAGGAGAGGAGAACACTGTTGGCCAAATAATGTCGGCCTCAGCCAGAAAAGAGCATGAATTGGCAAATCAACTATAACTTCTTATCTCTACTATTTAAGAAATGTGTAGTGCACGGACGATTTTCTGCATAATCTCCAAATTGTCTTTTTTAAGGAAAAGCGTATAAAAGACGCTTTTTGGCCAACGAAGACCATATACACTCAGGACTTCCATTTTGGACTATGTTTTATTTAAGACAAGACTGAGCCTAAGATCTAGATCATCACTGCAATAAAAGTGAATATGAAAAAGATAGCACTGAGTTAAAGGCTTTTGAAACTAATTTATTTTGAAAAGGTTTGTAACTATTTTTCCGGAAGCCTTTTTCTCTGACAACTGATTGATAACACGAACGACAGAACTATGTTGACAAACCTTCAAGGTTAATTTGAAACTTAGTTGATTCCGTCGTCCCCAGAGAGCCAGCATTTATTTCACGTCAAAAATGCCTTCTGTTCCTTTATGGAAAATTGGGGGTTTCGGCTGGTGTTTTTGAAATACGGCCAATGTTTTAGCCATTAGTTTATTTTTCGGCAAATGAATTTATTAAACCTCTTGTTCCTACAGTGCTTCCATACAGGAAAAAAAATAACTGTGCGGTTCAGTAAATTTCTTGCAGTACGACAACTTTAAATGTTCACATCGTTCGCCGCAACATCCTCTCAAAAGAGTTTGCTAAATTTCATGAAGTTTACCAAAAGCCATGACGCGCACTACATATTTTTGGTGGAAAGTACTTTCTCAACAAACAGGAAAATAAATTCCTTAAACGTTCCAATTCATGCTGTTTTCCTGTAGATCCAAGCATCACACGAACTTATGAGTACTGTTTAGCCATTTGCTTCCAATACTTTTGCTTTTGGCATTTCCTTTTCTTAATACTTTTAAATTTCAAGGACATTAATGGAATTTACTAAGTGTCAACGTGTCTTTTTGGCTCAACATAGACTCATTCGAGCGACCATTAACGAAACACCATAAATACCTTTAAGAACAAGGCTGACCAGAATGGCCATTTCTAGGCTATAATTCGTTATCAGCATACCAGAACATATTCAGAGTTTGTAGCAGATAGGCGTACATCAATCAATTAAAGTATATACTCGTCCGTCAACGGTACCTTTCGAGCTCATACTCGAGCTTACGCCGCGAGGCTGCTAATGATATAGGCTGAAGGACATTACCAACAAAGACAAGGGAGACTAGGATGGCCTATTTTGGCTTATTAGCCGTCCTTGACTAGAGTGTTGGACTTTATTTTTGAAAGTGGAGCAGGGCACCAAATTCTGTGGCAACACTTGAGTTGGTTATGACTAACTGACGACGGCTAATAAGCCAGAAATGACGATCCTAGTCTCTCTTGTCTTTTCCGGTGATGTCTTTCTGCCTATATCAGAGGTTTTTTTAGGCCGGGATGCCGTCTCTTCATAAATGGTAATGGAAGAGATTATTTAAACTTGGTTTGCCGCAGTCTGATAAACCAAAAAGGCTATCCCAGTTGTTCTTGTCTTTTTGGTAGTTATTGTGCCTAAATGTTACTTATACTCAATATCATATTGAATTCGATACCCTACCGAGTAGTCGCGGCGCTAGATGTCGTCAATTGTTGGATGAAAATTTTGGTCACTATGCCTGATCCTTTAACCAAATTACTGCCGGATTTATATAAGTCATCTTGTATTTCAAGAACAAGGTCAAGTGAATAACATCGATATCTAGGGGAAATTTTCACTACTCCTAAATAGCTGCAGTAGGTGTCGTTTCCAGTTTGTAACTAGTAACTTAACTGTATATATTGGTATTTGGGAGATGCATGCAGGTGTTTTAACCTGATTGGTTCAGCCGCATTTCTTACAAACACGCTTAACGCATTCTAGACTGAGCTGCCGTTTTGTGCCGGTGACCGAGTGCTGGTATTTGGAGAAATGGACGAGGATGGTTTTTATTTCGGTCAGCTGGAGAGCGGGCGG